GGAAGTGGTACTTTTTCTACTTTGAATTTTTCAAAAGCCTATAACTTGAGTACTATTTCAGATAAATAAATGAAATTTCACACGTAAGTAAAGGATCTAATTCTCTACCTTCTATCAAATTTTGAATAATTCCCGTTGATCGGAAGTACTAATTTACGCTATTTCCGATTTCTCAAAAAACGCATGTAAATTTATAAAGTACTAATAATATTGCGCACTATTATGCACATTTCATTTAGCGTTCACTTGGTGTGCAATTTTTTTTCTACGGGATTTTATTCTATTTTAAAAACTTTAAGTATTTAAAATGGAGTTCCCATCCCCTGTTGTTTTATATAAGAATATTCGAGAAAGTTTAGGGGAGATCACTCCCGGTTTATTATGTATGACAACATGACGATAGAAGAGGAAGCAATGTAGATAAAAGCTCGTAATAAAACCAATTTTAAAAAAACCTTTATAACAACTAGCTTTTAAATGAGCTTAAAATATAAAAAAAAACAGCAATAAAATTAATTTGTTTTCTTTCATAACAGCTGTTATCGCACCCTACGTAAAGATTTCATTAGCGACCCAAGCTTTAATGAAAGAAAGCAAACTAGATTTTTTAAAGCGCATTTTAAAGCCTTTTGCTTTAAATATTTTTAAACTGCTTTTATTTTCTACTTTTTAGTGATTCCTAATTTATGACGGTTGATACCACTAAAAATATTTGATTTTAAACACCATCAGTAGCTCGTGATAACCCAGTTACGATTATCTGCCATATCAGAGCAGCAGTCCGTGACCATATTTTACACACGACAGCAAGTACTTAATCTTGTTACCTCCCCTTAGTTTCAAATAGCTAAAAAAATTTATTATCTGCCCCTAATAGCCTTCATTAGGTCGACCGGCTCTACAATTGTAAACATTTTCGTGAACCACAGTTCACCTGTTAGGGTGATCGCATCTAGCAAGTTATTCCTTCCGTTTTTACTTTCTCGTATATACGAAGTATAGAGAAAGTCTTGTAATCGCTGATACGGAAAAACATAATTTTGCAATCTTGTCCGTATGTCTGTGTGTCTGTGTGTCTGTCTGTCTGTCTGTGTGTCCGTGTGTAAACACAATAACTTGAGTACCGTTACAGCAAGGTTGATGAAATTTCATATATAAGTATTTTATCAAAATCGTAGCCGGAATTGGTACTTTTTCTACTTTGAATTTTTCAAAAGCCTATAACTTGGGTACTATTTCAGATGGATAAATGAAATTTCACATGTACTAGATCTATTACTATTTAAGTATTTTTTAAGATTAAATCATGAGCTGTGAACTACAGAATTAGCCACAACCAGTTTCAATGTTTTAAAATAATAGCTAAACCCTCTAAAGAGTATAAAAAGCAACATGCGACATTCCAAACTATATTGTATGGAATTGCCCCACACCTACTATTGAAAAAAAATATGCTTTCCTGTTCTAAATTAAATGCTGAATCTAGCATTATTAACTGTTACTATTAACAAAAATGATTAAGCTTTCATAAAACCAATAAATAATTGACAACAATTAAAAATAAGACAAAATAAACTATTTTTTAAAAAGTGCAGGGGTTGTACTTACGTAAGGATGTTTGAAGATAGATGCAGATAAAATTAAAGTTCTTGCTCTGATTGGAGATGAGCGCTTCTCTAACAGTATCAAAAAATACAAGAAATGACCTCTTAGAAACAGGGAATAGTAACTTTAAATTAAACTTTACACCCATTACAAATAGAGAGTATTCAGTAGATAGTGTGTGGAATTACCCCGGCTTCCCTACTCAAGTTATAGGCTTTTGAAAAATTCAAAGTAGAAAAAGTACCACTTCCGGTTATCGGAAATCGCTCAAAGTTGATACGGATCTACGATTTTGATAAAATACCTATATATGAAATTTCATCAACCTAGCTGTAACGGTACTCAAGGTATCGTGTTTACACACAGACAGACACACAGACATACGGACAAGATTGCAAAATTATGTTTTTTCCGTATCAGTGAGGTGTAAAACGTCGAGATTTGTAAAAATCTCGATTTTTTTTTTTTGCACGATTACAAGACTTTCTCTATACTTCGTATATGCAAGAAAGTAAAAAACGATAGCTTCTGGACTTAGCTCGAATCACGAATTAACACTGGTTACGAATCGTGAAAACCCACTCTATGTTTATGGATATCCAAAAGAAATGATTCTCAAATGTAGTGTGGAGCTTTGGGTGGGTGGCAGTTAAATCTATGCCTTGGGTTGCCTAACCCTAAAAAAAAATCTCCAAATTCGAGTACTACGTTACTGGATCTCTGACCGGAGAAGGTTTGTGTTTATAGAGCGCCCAGGTATTACATTACAGGCCATGATCGCGGTCTCACAAGAGAAGGTTCGTGACTATAATTAGGGAGAAATGACGTGACAGCCAGCTACACCTTATTTATGAGTTTCCCGACGGCATGTTCGGGTTGCCGTGAATGCCGGTACTTTAGACGTGTGAGAAATCAGGACAACTTTACAATCTAGTGAACTCGGCCCAAGGTATCAAAACAGTATAGACTTCAAAATTTGTTTGGAATACAATATTTTAAAACCAAAATCATTATTGTCTTAACTATTGTAAAGAATATCCTGCAGTTAAAAAATGTGCATTTATTAATCACAGCCTTTCAACGATGCCCATTCCTCCAAAAACGTTGTGCGACGCGGACAATTCGATGACTATGTTATGTCAGCACCATTGGAAACGATTGTATATAACAGTTTGAATGAATTCGGTAAATTAATAATTCTGTTTGGGAACGGATGAATCTTTAAGATGACACTACATAACAACATTTTTACTCTCTTCCAAAAAAAAAAATCACTCTGTTGGATGTCCCCCTCCCCTGATGTGGTTCCCCCACCCGCCCCTATGCCCTCCTCCCACCCCCTATGCCAGCCACTGAATGTTTATTTTGTTATACCAAGACAAGTAGGCCTACATATATGGCAACTACAAGAGAAAGTCAGGACTAGCCTACACTGTCTACTACAAGCATCCCGTCTGTTCACTACAAAACGTCTTCATCGGGCCGCATACAATAGGGTATCTGATTACCTGTTTTCCAAATATTCCTCCCTGCTCTGGTCGGGCGCTAAATCGAGTCCACCCATCTCCAGTCACCTCAGGTCAAATGCGAGGCGACCGTACCCTTCACACAGGGAAGTGTGTGACACTATAATTTACGGCCTGTCTCAGTTTATGTGGGTGATAACTCATTAGCATCAACCGGGGTCTCAGTTATAACAATAAACAACGTCGGCATTCGACCATTTCGTTTTTCCCCAAGTGAATTCAGAAAAAATTATATCAGTTTACAATCTAATTCAGATAACAATAACAGTGCTGAAGCGCGGGGCCCCTTCAGGCGCGGGGCCTGGAGCGTCCGCCCCGTTCGCCACCCCCAAAAGTCGGCTCTGCACCCAACTTAAGCCTGGTATGTAAATTTTGGGAAAACGCGTAATGTGATACCCTACTGTATTTGGACCAATGTAGAAGCTATTTTTTTTTCTAAATTTTTTAAATGCCTGCACTCGTTACTGACCTTAGAAATGCTAGTCTTGTCTTGTACGTCGAAGTAATCGGATACGTAGAAATAAAGTGTCTGTTCTTGGTAAAAGAAACTCAATACATTGAGAAAATATCGATACTAATCATAGAGAACAGCGATCTCTGCTTGTGCGCTGTGTCGATGTTTCACGTTGTGACTTTTACTTTTAACTTGTGGAATATTTCATTGAACTTTTGTATCGCTAAAGACCCAACAGGCAAAGATATTTTACCACTGGTGTCTTCAACATGTACAGTAAGGCGTATCAATTCAGGGAAATAGTGTAAGCATTTAATGTTCTAGTTGTTCGAAAGCTTTTCCTCTAATTTGGAAAAGTAGTCTTTTTTCTTCTTCTCAAAGCGAATTAATATTATGAAGACGATATATTCATATAGTTTTCCTTTCATTTTAGCTTTATTATCATATATCTGACCTCGACATTCACCAATCTCTAAGCCATATTTCTAAGTGTGGTCAGACCCATGCTCAGCCGAAATCGGTGTTTTTAAAAGACAAAAACGTCTAAGGTGTGACGTCTTTTTTAATGTGGGGTCTGTTTTTTGTGTGACGATAAGTGACATACGTGATGTCATTTATGGATGACCCCCAAAACCCACAGTTATCCAAAGGATGACGGGTAGTCTAATATATACTAAAGCCCTCTTTTTTCCATAAAAGTTGTACTATACAGACAGTGATAGACGATTGAGTATTACAATTTTTTTGGTGCAATTAGTAAATAAATCAGTCAGCCAGCATTCACTGTGGAGACAGATGTAAACGTATGATGACACAACATACCGCAACTTTTTAAAATTAAAAAAAAATTCATTCCCACCGGATGCAATATGAAGTTGATGCCCGGAGCCTGGGCCCCGCGCCCCCCCCCTCTCTGCACGTCACTGTCTTGACCTCCAGATGGTGAGGAGGATACTGTTGACGTCAGTAAGAGACACCATAGGGAGCTCTATATAGACCACGTAGTCTATTACTACATCCCACCTACCCACGCGATTTGAGGTATAGTTGTAAGATCCCCAAAGGCTGATCAGAGACGGAGTGGCCCGGTGGTAGTCTCGGGTTCACGTCAGTAGACCGTCCATGTTCACAAAGTTCTGATGGGCACCTAACCCACATATGGTCACAGAGGTGAACTCTACGTCCCTTGCCCAGTAGACCGCCAGGTTTGGAAGGGGAACTATATATATTTTTTTACAAGGGCTGATCCCCCATCCACCTCAATTAAGTTTAAAATAGCCTTTCTAAGAGATGAGGTAATAGTGAAAAAGCGTTGGAATTTACAAAAAAAAAAAATATTGTAATGGTAGGCTGTTGCTTTAGTAATAAAACTCACTACATTTCCAAACATGTACAGCAAAAAGGAATTTGTTGAATTATTTATTTACACTACAAAGTACATCTATGTACACAGAGTTTTGGGTGGAGACGAATCATCATCGGGCTTTGGCCGGCCAACTCCATGTAAAGTTTTCTTCGGTCAATGCCCCACAGCGGCTGGCGATGGTCGACGTTTGAGTGCTCGGTCAGCTCCAGTTCCGTGTTGAAGTCCCGGCAACAACGGCAGCAGACGAACCGCTTCTCGTAGAAGTGGTTCTGCTCGTGCCTCTCAAAGTCTGGGGCGTCCTGGGCCAGATAGCCACAGATGCCACATCGGGTAAGGTCAAGGTCAGGCGGCAGAGTCTCCAGTCTCTCGGGGAGGACGTCGTGCTGGGCCATGTGGAGGCGGAAGTGGACGAGACCGGTGGTCGTGTAGGGACAAATATGGCAGGCGAAACGCTTGACGGCGAAAAGATCCTCTGCGGAAAAAGTAAATAAGATAATACCGTTTCAAATCAAACAAATATGTCATGAGCATTTTTTTACTTTCTCGTATTCGAAGTATAGAGAAAGTATTGTAATCGTGCAAAAAAAAAAAATCGAGATTTTTTTTACACCTCCCTGAGTTGGAAAAACAATGTTTTGCAATCTTGTCCATATGTCTGTGTGTGTCTGTAAACACGATAACTTACAGAGTACCGTTACAGTTAGGTTGATAAAATTTCATATATAAGTATCACATAAAATTTGTAGTTCTGTGTCAACTTTTCAGCGATTTCCGGTAGCCGGAAGTGGAACTTTTTCTACTTTCAATTTTTCAAAAGCCTTTAGAGTACTGTTTCAGATAGATAAATTAAATTTCACTTGTAAGTAAAAGATCTAATTCTATGACTTCTATAAAATTTTGTGAAAATTCCGTTGAACGGAAGTAGTAATTTACGCTATTTCCAATTTCTGAAAAAAAAACGCATATGAATTTATAAAATATTAATAATATTCCGCACCATTATACACAGATTGTTTGGCGTTCACTTGGTGCGCAATTCTACGAGATTCTATACTATTTTAAAAAGTTTAGGTAATTAAAAATGGATTTAAAATTATGTCTATATCCCGAGTTGCCATCCCCCGTAGTGTTTTATAAGAATATTAGAGAAAGTTTACGGGAGATCACTCCCGCTTTCTTAATTCATTAGATCATCAAGGAAAAGATTTGAAATTTCGGAGGTTTTACTAGGATCTTCTTGAACTATCAATTTTACCATGAATATTTGTTTTACAGATAGACAAGACATAAGTCTGGTGAGCGATGTCTCATCTGTCACTTCACTATCGCTAGCTGCAACACGGCACAATTGGAGACCATAATGTATCAGAATAATCCTCAACTGGCGGTGTGAATGGATGGGATCACGGGAATGGATGGGATCACATGAATTGGTGGGATCACATTCAAACATGAACTTCAGCACGACATACCTGAAAGGCTTGCAGGTTGACTGCTTGTAGTTGTCACCTTTTCCACGTCTGCAGCGGTTGATTCCTCGTCTGATATGTTGATTATACCGTCTGCTATATCCATCATGAAGTCTTCAGTTACATCCATAACTTTGTCGTCTGCTATATCCATTTCTTTGTCGTCTGCTACATCATTGAAGACGTTACATTCCATACATGGTGAGATTGCAATATGCTGCTCGCTTGTCTTTGTTTGAGGTGCAGAATCAACCTCATCGAATTGTGTCTGCCTGACCAGCACAGGACACTGGTCATCCAGCTTCTCTTTTGGCCTGAGCTTGACCACCTTGGCCTGTGTCTTACAATGTCGATGACGTTCCAGGATGTGACTGTTGACACGTGACCTACAAGTCAAATCAAGTTGACATCAGTCACATGGCATTGCTCAGTACAGACAACAGCTTACATAGCCTTACATAACACGACATCTTACATTTACAACATGAGTCAAGTACATGAGAAGTGAGAACGGCCATTGCATGCTAACCCTTACATTGAACCTGCTCCAGCTTGTTGCCAGAACAGAAACCACAGACACAATCTCAGACAAACAGCATTAGCGTCTACCAGTCCTCTGATCCACCCCGCCCCCATCTCTCCTCCCCTCAAAATAAAAAAAATGATTACCTTTTTTTGCTTCTAAACAGACATTTTGAACATAAGTATCTCCTTCGGATGCTCTTGACATCGCCGATGACACAATGACCTAAAACGTTGAAGGTCACTCCAGAGTCCACCCACAAGATCCTCTGGTGTTTGTGCCGCTTGCGACTGTGTCTGACCAGAGCCTCCAGCGACTTGACATCCCAGCCACAGTAGTAGCACGAGCTGTAGTCGATCGTCTGCTCCAGGCTGGACGGGAGTTCTCCCTCGGCCGACTGGTCGTCTGCTGGTTTGATCAGCTCCACCAGAGGGCAGTTTATGGAGACCGTCTGGATTATTGTGCTGTTTTTGTGAGAGTCGGGCGTCTTTGGAGGGGTCGGTGGGGTTGAAAACACAGTTGTCTTTTGTTTGTCTGAAGCTGCACAAACTTTTGGCGTGTCTGCTTGGATAGTGTGCGATGCACCTTTGTCTATCTCCTCTAAATACCACGATTTTTGCAACAGATCCAGGCAATGTTGTAGTTCGTGCTTCTCTTCAACCAAATCACAGCTCTCGAAATGACACAGGTATTTTTGAACGGAGATAGCGTAGAAAGAGCACCTGGCACAGCGAAACCCCGGCTCGGAAGAGTGAGTGGACACCATGTGAGTTTTCAAGTCCTCCAGCGTAACGGCCACAAACTCGCACGACCGGCTCCCCAAGTTTCCACCACAGCCGAACCGCCCCAAGTGCACCGCCTTGATGTGGGCTGTCAGCAGATCTTTTTTCACAGAGAAACAACAAAGAGAACAGACCATGACCAAAATATCGGGATGTTCCTGTGTGAGATGTTCATTTAACAAAACATCGTTGTCAAAACCACGCATACACGCCGAGCATATGTAGTACTGTTTGTTGTCGACTTTTTCAGCCGCACTTTTTGAGCTTTGCTCGGGTTCAGTGCACGCGATGTTTACACACACATTTGCTGAAGGCCAGGACTGGTCTCTTTCAGGAGTTCTTGTGAACAGATCCTCAGGAGTTCTTGTCGACAGATCCTCAGGAGTTCTTGTCGACAGATCCTCAGGAGTTCTTGTCAGCATATCGTCAGTTCTTGTCAGCATATCGTCAGTTCTTGTCAGCATAGCGTCAGTTCTTGTCAGCAGATCCTCAGGAATTCTTGTCAGCATGTCGTCAGGAATTCTTGTCAGCAGATCGTCAGTTCTTGTCAGCAGATCTTCAGGAGTTCTTGACGGCGTGTCGTCCTCGGAATGAGGCGAGATGTTTGAGCGGGTGTCCATGTAAAACCTGTCCATGTGCTCCAAGTCCAAATCTTTGTTTGGGTTGTTGAAAGGAAACTCACGGTCATGGTTTTGTACCGACCTAAGTCCTAGATCAGACAGATCAAATTGTAAAATAATGGTCTCAGCAGAAGGGAAATGTCTGGTTGGCTCATTAGGGAGAAGCTGTCTTACTGGCTCACTTGTGACTGGCTGTCTGATTGGCTCATTAGTGAAGCGCTGTTTGATTGGCTCATTAGTGAGATACTGTCTGATTGGTTGACTTGTGACTGGCTGTCTGATTGGCTCATTAGTGAAGTGCTGTTTGATTGGATCATTAGTGAGATACTGTCTGATTGGTTCACTTGTGACTGGCTGTCTGATTGGCTCATTAGCGAGGTGCTGTTTGATTGGATCATTAGTGAGATACTGTCTGATAGGTTCACTTGTGACTGGCTGTCTGATTGGCTCATTAGCGAGGTGCTGTTTGATTGGCTCATTAGTGAGATACTGTATGATTGTCTCACTTGTGACTGGCTGTCTGATTAGCTCATTAGTGAGGTGCTGTCTCACTGGCTCATTTATGACTGGCTGTCTGATTGGCTCAGTGAAGGGCTGTTTGATTGACTCATTAGTGAGGTGGTATCTAATTGGCTCATTAGTTAGATGCTGTCTGATGCGCTCATTGAAGTGGTATCTAATTGGCTCATTAGTGAGATTGTATCTGATTGGCTCATTCGTGAGATGTTGTCTGATTGGCTCACTCGTGAAATACTGTCTGATTGGGTCATTAGTGAGGGGCTGTCTAATTGGCTCATTAGTGAGGTGCTGTCTAATTGGGTCATTAGTAAAGGGCTGTCTAACTGGCTCATTAGTAAGGGGCTGTCTAATTGGCTCATTAGTGAGGGGCTGTCTAATTGGGTCATTAGTGAGGGGCTGTCTAATTGGCTCATTAGTAAGGGGCTGTCTAATTGGCTCATTAGTGAGGGGCTGTCTAATTGGCTCAATAGTAAGGGGCTGTCTAATTGGCTCATTAGTGAGGGGCTGTCTAATTGGCGCATTAGTAAGGGGCTGTCTAATTGGCTCATTAGTGAGGTGCTGTCTGGTTGGTTCAAAAGTGAGTTGCTGTCTGAGGAGATTAGAAGTGGGACGCCACCTAGCTCTGGGGTGTCTATCAACTGTGTGCGAGTTTGCCAGTAATGGATTCGGATCTTGGTGCAAGTAGTCCCATACAAACTCCGAATTGTTTTTCGATTTTTGTAAATCAACGCCTGAGATAGAATTTTTTGTTGCGGCGGTCTTGGCTGGAGAAATATCAGGAAGTGTATTGATGCACTTCGGGTTGCGGCCAGGGCGCCTAGGCCCCGCTGTTCTCGAATTCACTCCAACCTCACATAGATGCAGACATTTCAGAAGAAGTTCCTGGTTTGTTTGTTGTGTCACCCTAAACAGGGTTTTGTTCAAAAGATCGATGGTTTTCCTTTTAAAAGACCTAAATCTCATTCGATATCTTTTTTGGCCTACATTGCCGTACTTTAAAACAGTCGCAAAGTATTCCTCTTCATGACGCTTCCATTTCTCGTAGCGTTTGAACAACGTTTTGGCCTGAAGCCAATCATCTTTTTTCATCACGTAGGTGACTGTGTCTAGGACCCTGACGAGGGCATCAATGTCCAGTCTATGTAGGCGGAGATCTGACAGACCCGGCGATTTCTTGACCACATAGTTTGTATTTGATGGTTTTTCCACCACAGATATTTGTTGAGGTTGGTTGGTGGTTTCGGCTGAAGGTCTTTCTTGAAGTAGCTTCGTGGAGTCCACACACGGTATTCGCTGAGGCGGCTCCGTGGTTTCCACTGCAGCAGTGTTAGAGAGCGGTCCGTTTTTTGCTGGATGAATTTCAGACTGTTGTCCGGCAGCTGGATGGCCGTCAGATGGGCAAATATTGGGTGTTGAGCTCTGCTGTAAGCTTGAAGCTTCAGGACACCTATAGCGTGTTGTGGCATGTGGCCAGCGATAAGATAATAATCCGGGCAGACTATTCAATTTGTTTGTTTGGAGTTGTGGCCGGACAGGTAGACCGTTATTTATGACAGGATGAAGTTGTGGTTGCATATTATGAACTAAATGTGTAGCTTGTGTCATGACAGTCTCATTCGTCTGTAACTAACTTCTGTAAATAAAGCGTGAACAAAAATTAAAACTAAAAGAAGTGATTTGAATGATTAAATTAGAAAGCCTCAACAGTTAACCGAAAACACCGCCCCAACGATAAAAGCGATACCAATTAACAAAATATATTTGTGATACTGTACTGCACTGTTAAATTGCACTATATATCTTGGTAGACAAACTAACAATATTGAACCAGAGCAGAGCCTGGCTGGATCGGCAAATCAAGCTGTAAAAGTTTCAGCTAGACAAGTCAGATTACAGTGAATGGACGCTAGAAAAATACTGCACTGAACGAACAAAATTCAGGTAAAAACATTATTGCTGGAAAATACTTGTCACTCTATTCAAAAACTGTGCAATGGTGCTAACAAGTACTTGTAATGCGTATTTGGAGTTTTCCGACTTGGTGCGAAAAGAAATGTTTATTTCGTGTCAAGTCTCCCTGAGATTTCCACCAAACGGAACATTATATATACTAAAATAAAGTGGTAGTAATCTCCCCTAAACTTTTTCGTATATACTTATATAACACTACGGGGATGGCAACTCAGGACATATAGGCCTACATGCTTTTTAATAAGTTTTTACATACTTTTTTAAAAAATAGAATAGAATCGCGTAAAAAAATTGCGCACCAAGTGAACAGTAAACAGCATGTGTATAATAGTGCGGAATATTATTAGTACTTTATAAATTCATTTTCATTTTTTTTTTCAGAAATCGGAAATAGCGTAAATTACTACTTCCGGTCAACGGAAATTACTCAAAATTGTACAGAAGGCAGGGAATCAGATCTTGTACTTCCATGTGAAATTTCGTTTATCTATCTGAAACAGTACTCAAGTTAAAGGCTTTCGAAAAACCAAAAGTAGAATAGGTTCCACTTACGGTTACAGGAAATCGTTTATAAGTTGAAAAAACTACAAATTTGATGTAATACATGTATATGAATTTCATCAACCGAGCTGTAACGGTACTCACGTTATCGTGCTCACAGACATACACACTTACATGCACACACACGGATAGAATCGCAAAAAAAGTATTTCCGTCTCGATTATGCGTAGATAAATCTGGATTTAGAATTTCTGCCTGATTGAAATAAGTCCCCTATACTCCGTATATGATGAAATACTGAGGTGTAAAATAGTGAAAACTGTCAAAATTTCATGTGATTTTTGTGCAGGATTACAATACTCCCTCTATACATTGTATAATAGAAATTTAAAAAAATAATTATTAATTAATCTGAAAATATCGGTGACAGGACAAATGATCTCAGGACAAAATGTCCTCAGACTAAATATCCCAGACAAAATATGCAAATGATCTAAGAACAAATGATCTCAAGGACAAAAGATCTCAGGACAAAATATATCAGGACTAATGATACTTTGAACAAATGATGAAACGCAAACGCAAACACAAACACAAAAGCTAAAGCAAACACAAACCCTAAAAAAAAAAACACAAACCCAAACCCAAAAGCAAACACAAATGCAAACGTAAATGCAAACACAAACCTAAACGCAAACAATAACTCAGAAAATAATACAAAATAAAACGCGAACTTAAACACAAACTTGAACGCAAACAATAACGCCAAGTCGCATCTCGCCGGGGAGCCGGCGGACCCGCCTGATTCAGCTTAGTAAACGACTGTAATACCCGAACAAATCCATAGTATATCGCATTCACCTAAACGAACGTAGGCGCTATAGCGCTTACGAGAAGGCCCGGGGCAACAAATAGCACCCTGTGGGGGCGCCAGATGACGCACTGGTTTCAATTTAGTGAAGGGCTTTTCTTTAGTTATTTAAATAGTAGTGTATAATTTATTTTCTACTTTTTAGTGCATTAGTATATAACAGTTTGTTATTAAAACGTTTTGTATGAAATTTTTTAATGAATTTTTTTCTGTACTTTAATTTTTTAAATTTACAATAGAGTTGCATGACTAAAAACTATTGCGCCCCTAATGAACGTGAAAAGCGTGTATAATAGTGCGGAATAGTTGGATAAGACTGCCTACTAATTTGGAAAATACAGCTAGGTTGATGAAATTGCATATGTAAGTATTGTATCAAATTTTTACTTTCTCGTATATACGAAGTATAGAGAAAGTATTGTAATCGTGCAAAAAAATCTCTTGAAATTTTAACAATTTTCACCGTATTACACCTCAGTCCTTCATCACATCCGAAGTATAGAGGACTTATTTTAATCGGGAAAAAATTATCAATCCAGATTTATCAAAATTAAGAGGTTTTATGCGTAATCCATTCTGAAAAACTGGGCTTTGCAATCCTGTCCGTATGTCTGTGTGTCTGTTTGTGTGTGTTTGTGTGTAAACACGATAACTTGAGTACCGTTACAGTTAGTTTGATGAAATTTCATACATAAGTATTTTATCAAAATCGTAGATCCGTATCAACTTTTGAGCTATTTCCGATAACCGGAAGTGGTACTTTTCCTACTTTGAATTTTTCAAAAGCCTATAACTTGAGTACTATTTCAGATAGATAAATAAAATTTCACATGTTAGTAAAAGATCTAATTCTCTAACTTCTGTTAAATTTTGAGTAATTTCCGTTGACGGAAAGTACTAATTTACACTACTTCAGATTTCTCAAAAAACGCATGTACATTTTTAAAATACTAATAATATTGCGCACTATTATGCCCTTTTTTATTTTGCGTTCACTTGGTGTGTAATTCTTTTTTCTACGATATTTTATTCTATTTTTAAAAACTTTAAGTATTTAAAATGGAGTTCCCATCCCCTGTTGTTTTATATAAGAATATTCGAGAAAGTTTAGGGGAGATCACTCCCGGTTTATTTTTATTGAAATTAACGTTTAAATTTAAATGCTTAAAAACTAGGACACCATGATTGAATACAACATAAGACTGTATTTAGAGTAGACGGGAAACGACGTGGTAGGACGTGGGGTGGTAGTCGGATAGGGATAAGTAGATGCAGTGGCGTAAAGAGGTCGGGTGTCACCCGGTGCGGCACTTACTGGTGTCACCCCCACCCCCCCCCCCCCTAATTTATGTATATTGTTACGATCCCAAGGGATCTTTACCTGGGTTTGGCCCCATCGAGGAGGGCCAGGTAATTAAAATGAAATGCTTAGGCATGTTAATGCACTGGCCAGCTTAGGCCGTGAGAGTCTGGGGGTTTTGATGGCCACCACGGATTAGATTCCACGCTGTGGGCGTGGCAGAATTGGAGTCTTCGGGACTCGGCTATTAACGTGGCCAACAGCCCGTGATTTACGGCTGGAAAAACCTTCCAGATCGGACAGGGCCGAGTGGACCGTCATGGACAGATGTGACCTAGGGTCAGGCACGAATTAAAATTGTTCCCACGGTAACGCACGGGGACGAGTACTTTAGGGAGACACTCACTGGACACACACACACACACGGAGACGGACGGACACGTCTCGGATAGCTAGGTTTAGAGGAGACAGACATGGGGCGTCTCTGTGAGCTAGTGGACAGCCAAGAGATGCCCGTACTGTAGTAGACCTAGGCTAGTTAGTTAGGGACAAGTAGGGCAGTCGAATTAAGGACTTTAGTGTTGTAGATAGTTGTGTATTTTTCTTATTGTATTCCATGTGGTGGCGGGTTAATGTTAGGTGTTGTATTTTGTGGCGAATAAATAGCGATTACTGAAGTTGGCTTTTATTTATTTTTATTTTTCTTCTTTTTGTTTACGATCCCCTGACTAGTTCGAAAGGATTAGAGAAAGAGGTTCGTAACAGAATTGGTGGCTAGCGTCCGGAATTGAATAGACAACGAGGCCATAGTTGAATAGTTTCTTTTGATGCCATGTTCAGTTGGGGGCTCACGAGCTTGTGTTTTAGTTTTAAGTTTTAAGAGTAGTTACAGTAAAGTTGTTCACGGAATCAGGAGAGTTTTCCAAACATTGAGTAAGTAGCGAGCGTATCACCTTTGTGTTGACACTGATTTATTCATTAGAGGTTGTTCTTTTTTTTTGTTGATTCAGTATAGCTGGAGGGATTAATGCCCAGTATACTCGAATATTTTTGTGTGATCCAGTGGAACTGGAGTGTTCGGGTTTATTCAGTACAGCTGGAGGGTCATTCCCAGGTACGTGAATAAATTCGTAATTTTTGTTTGGTTTGCTCAGTATAGCTGGAGGGTCAATTACCAGTATAAGTGAGTAAATTGTTTGTGATCCAGTGTAGCTGGATATCTTAGTTTGGTTGGCCCAGTATAGCTGGTGTCTACCTGTTTTAAGTGTCAAAGGTGATAGCCGTACTTGTAATGTTTAAGTTAAAGTTTTTGTGTGAGCCACATTTTCTTAGTTAACCGCCACCATTTAGCTGAATAAGTTCCGTAAGTGTGAATCATGGACGTAATGATTTTTATTGAGTGTCCAACTCTAGAAGTTTTAGACAAGTTTTGTCGCTTAGAGTTGTTGTGTCTAGTTGAGCAACTAGGACTAGAGGTTGATGTCTCGGATAGAGATAGAGTTCTAAGAGATCATATTGTTGTTGAGTTGGTAAATACAGGTAGATTAGAGGAGGAGTGTCTAGACTCTATAGAATACTACGATAGGACGCATTAGAGTAGAAGAAATTGAGAGAAAGTATCAAGTTAAGTTGTTAGAGATTGCAAGAGAACAAGAGGAGAAGTTATTAGAGATCAGGAGGGATATATTTATGTCAGAATCTTGTAAGGAAAATGATATTCAAAGTTTAGAGAAACTGAGAATACATGAGGTTAAACTATTAGAGATCAGGAGGGAACGGGATTTACTTAGGCTAGAGGAGGAGGCGCAGCTTAGTGGGTTGTTTGACTTTCCAGAATCTGTCTCTGTTTTCTCTTAGGCTAGTGTAGTAGTTTCCGAGGATCGGTATAGAGATGAAGATAGTTTGTTGTCTGATAGAGTTGGTAGTGAGTTTTGTCAGTCTCAGACTAAGGCTGCCACTAGCTTTGGCTCAGTCCCTGAAGTCGACTCTA